CAACTGTTATCTTGGGACAGTTGCCAGTGATGTTCCTTTTCCTTAGTGCTTTGTGTTCAGTCTACATTACATTTTCTGTAGTGAGCACATATTACTCTCCTAATTAGATTAAAAAAACAAATCCTTGGGTTTGGTTTCTTTTGAATGAAGAATATTAGCAGGGATCTTGTCAAGACGCATGAAGCAGGATCCCCTGCGGGTGCCCCCTTGGGCCCTTCCCCGCCCCCACCCCTACTTCCACCCCCGCCCCTGCACCCTTGCAGTGGCCCTAGGAGGCGTGGGCCCTGAGCTCAACTGGTTGGGGCCGGCCTGCCCAACCCCCCACCCCCGCTCCCCTTGTGCCTCCCCCTGTCCAAGTAGTGCCGGCGGGACCCCAAGTGGTCTGCTTAGTCCTCACCCCACCCGTGTGCCTCCGTAGCCCTATTTTCCAGAGGGCAAAACGGAGACATCTGGAGCTCCCGGGACCCCAGCGGTGGGGTGACACGCTGGAGTCGCTGTACCCAGGGACTGGCCCCGCCTCCCACCCCGCAGTCACATTGTGGCTCTGCCTGGGCCCTGATCTCTCTAGGACAGGGTGCACACCAAGAACATCTGTCCCATTGTGTCCTGCCTCCTAGAGTGGAAAGCCGGTGCCTTTGCCCCTGCCCCTGTCCGAGGGCGATGAGGCCAGGCCTTCTGAGGAAGGATGACTTGAGCAAGAGCAGAAGGCAGGAAAATGGAGATGATCTCCAAGGTCAGCACGGCCAGCGTGTCCTTTGCAGGTTCTGGGGCTAACACAGCGGGCAGTGGCCTGGGCTAGAAGGGGATAAAGAGAGCCAGAGAGCTGTAAGCTGGACGTGCCTTCCCCAGGACTTCCCAGAACTGAGATATCCCTTCAGGGCACTAGACCAACAGACTATCCCTGCTAGGCCTCCAAGTCTCTGTGAGGGCTAGGGGTCACCTAGAAGGGTCCCTGGTTTTGCCTCTTCCCTGGGGAGCGCAGAGAAGGGGGTGGAGAGACCACAGTTCTCAGGTAATTGCTCACACAGAGGGCTTTTCCACACAGGGCCTGTCCTGGCAGGTAGTAGCAAAGGACAGCATGGGGGACAGCCAGCCTGGACCCAGGAGACCGGAGCCCTCGCCACCCATCAGACTCTGTTGATCCTGTCCCCCTCTTACTTAGTCCCCCTCTGCCCCATCACCCCTTCTGTACCTGTATTCTAGGGCTTCGTCATAGAGGTCAGATGCAAGAGGTCCCGGACAACTTTTAGGTCAACTTGTCCAAGGAAACACTTGTCCAAGGGTACTCAAGTGGCCAGCAGATTTTTAGGGATGAGCACTCTTGACTGGAGGGCATGATTTCTGCAATTTTATCTTAGATCTCTTTGTGCATCCACACTGTCACACTGGGAAGTTCTTCCAGACAATGACAAGCTTGAAGTGATGGAACTATGATTGCCTTGTCCTCCCTTCAGTTGCTGATAACCTGCTCCTTCCAGAGACATCCGAGTTTCCTTGGGGAACTTGGTGAGAACCAAAGGAGTGACGGACTTGTGTCTGGACACACATTCGGGGCAGGAGACCTCAGGGCTTGTCCTGGCATCATCTACCAGACCAGGAACACATGATTTTAGAAGCACTTTTGGGGTCCCACTAAAGCTGTCTCTTGGGTATTCCTTAGCAGCACCTTGATGCTGTTTTAGGACTGACCATCCAGCACCTTTGGACATTGGAATGAAACAGTGAGCTAGAATGGAGGGCAACAGCCCTCATGCGCAGCCTACAGAGTGCCAAGAAGAAATTCAACCTTTTACCTCCCAAGACTGACTTGTAACTGTGTTGTTACAGGGATCTGCAATATCAGATACCTAGAGAATTGTGTTGGTTCACTACAGGTTGCAAACTAGGTCATAGGAGGTTGGATTTTACCTTCAACCTTTTCATAATTAACCTAATTTTTAACCTTACTGGATTATGCTGTAAGTAACCAGCAAGAACCTAAGAGCTGAACATTTTCTTATGCACTCTTGCCCCACACTGTCCAAGAAAGTAGCCACTAGGGCTGTGGAGTTACCGCACACTGGAGATTGTGCGAGTGAGCATAAAATTCATACTGGATTTTGGTGACAGTGTGGAATAAAAAAAAAAGTTAGCATTTCTTTTTAATAAATTTCCTATTGTTATATGTTGAAATGATGAAAATAAATTTCACTTTTTTTCTTTTTTAACGAAAAGCTGTTGAAAATTTAATATATTTGGCTCACAGTATGTTTTTGATGGATGATGCTGGTCTAGAATATCTATCTAAAAGTATTTCTCCCTGTAAACTTTAAAGCAAAATGCAAAATTCCTTTCTTCCACAAAACATGAAGAATTTTGTTTGTAAGTGTCCAGGCACTTTTCAAAGGTACGTGCTTGATATCATTCTCCTGTTTGTGTATAATGAGTATCAGGTCTGTGGCAAACGATTTCAGCATCTCGGGACTGTTTGTGATTTCCAGAGTCCAGAGAGAGAGACAAACGCAGCTCACTCCAGCATTCCTGTTACTGTTGAAAAGAGATGGCATGATGCTCCTCCTCCCTCAACACACTCTTGGGACCAGCACAAGAACTCCCTTCTTCAAGAATGGTAGCAGGGAGGGAAGTGTGTTAATAATCATCCCTGCACCCCCATAGCATTTTAGGAGGGCTTTGTGCCCAGGAATGAAGCAGGATCCTTCCTGGACAGTGCAAGACAGCCAACCCAAAACAGGAACGTTACAATAAAAAGTTGTGGGGGGATGGGAGACAGCAAAAGAAATACCCAAAGTAATATAAACATACAAAAACATTGCTTATAATTGATGGCTTATTCTGTGGTGCTCACCAATCTCATCTTAAATAAATGGTGAGGGAAAAAAACACCCACTGCTGAGCAGTAGCTAGATAACAAGTAGATAACCACTTATTATCTACCTTTATGTGATCAGGGTCTGAAAGATGGGAACTACACGGAGGATGTATTCAAGGATCTTCTTCCCTACACCCTGGGTCTCATCTGCGGACAGATGGGCAAAGGATTAGGTGAGAGTTCATTTTCTCTCCCACGGTGCTTCAATTTCTCTTGTTCAAGAAACTGTGGAATGAGGGAGAACAGAGGATTTTAACTATTTGTTGACTCTCCACAATGTGCTGGGTACAAGCCTGGTGTAAAGTTGAGGAAACAGACTTGAGATCATTCGAGTGATTGAAACTTAAGTCATTTGTCTGAAGACACACGGCTAACAAACAGCAGACTCAGGACTGGAGCAAGGCTGTCCATCTTCAGAGCCCAGAGTCTCGCCATGATACCACAATGGGTAGTTATGCCCCTGTGGCTTGCCCTCACATCTACTTTGGGCTGTCATCTTTGGCATTCAGAGTGTTAGCAGTTGAGAACTCAAAACTATTAAGGATCATTTCAGCTGAGAGACGGTTGGCCAGTTGGGTGGAAAGACTGGTGTAGTTCAAGTCAGGAGAAAGCTCGGCTGAGCTTCTTTCCTCTGGTGCCAGAGAAAACCTCCACATCTGTGGTGCTGGTGACTGGATCATGATTTCTCACTGGTCCTTGGGTTTCCACTTTGCAGGGCTCTCTCTACAATGCTGCATCCAGGGGCTGTGGGAAAGGGACGGCAGCCCAGCTCATGAATGCTTTAATTGACTGACACATTAGAAAATACTTCTTTTAATCGACTGATTACATTAGAAGATGCTTAACTCACTTTTTAAAAATTAAATAATGATACCACTTAGCCCATCCCTGACACCTTACAATGCAGAGTGTCCCCTCTGTGAGAAAGCAGGCTGCGGGGCTGTTAGTTCCTACAGTTGGCTGTCCCCCTTACCTGGGGGCCAGGGGCAGAGAACACGGCACACCCACAGGTCAACGTTACCTTGGCATAGACCCCTTGCCCATGCCTGCCCTCTGCACCTGCTGGCCTCCCTGTGGAGTTTTTGTAAAGCTCTCACCTCCCCGGCCACCTTCTCTGAACATTGCCGCTTCAGTCTTATCTATCAATCAACCCTACCTGCCATCTTCTATTTCAGAATTACTCAGAATTTCTGTCCTTGTACCTTTTTTTTTTTTTTTTTTGCCTTGAGAGCCATTATAGATTTCTTAAAGTTCAATGAAATTTGGGAGGAACAGATAAAAGTGAGAACTCAGTCACTGTTTGCCATCTCAAGTCATGACCTTTGACTTGTAAATCAGGCTGCTTCCAATTTGCTGGGGCAAGTCGATAACCTGGTGGGGTGTCCTGTAAATTAGGTAAGGTGTGTAAATTAGCCCTGCCTTCGCCAGAGGGAGCTGCTTGACCTCCTCTGGCTTATTTCCTGTCCTGTTTTAAAATCAAATGCTTCTTTATAAATACTATCTCACTTAGGGATTCATCTAAAATGCAGCCTACAGCAGCTTTCTCCTTCAATAGATCTGTGAGAGAAATATGGTTTCTGACCCAGTAGAGCTGTATTTTTTTTCTCTCCTCTCTTTTCCCCTCCCCTCCCCACTCCCTTCCCCTCCTTCCTTTCTATTAAGTAGGCTCTACGCCCAGCGTGGAGTCCAACACAGGGCTTGGACTCATGACCCTAAGATCAAGACCTGAGCCGGGATCAAGAGTCGGATGGACGCTTAACCGACTGAGCCACCCAGGCACCTGAAGAGCTGCATTTTTAAAACCAAGGCTCACCTACCTATGGAAAGCAGACCCAGGCCCCCTGGATAACTAATGTCAGTGTTACCTGTGAGTTTATCTAATTAATGTTTCTGTCTTTCTACTTGCCTCAGATTATTTTTTCCTTAGCCAGATTTTTAAAATGTGTTGAGGCACCAAACGTTCCTTACGTTCTTTGACGGCCTCTAATTTCTGGAGCTCCTGAGGCTGAGTGCACCACACAGCCTCCCTCGTGCCCCCCCCACCTGGCCGAACCCATGACCCACTGTGTGCCCTTCCTCCTTAGAACCCTTATCTCTACCCTCTTCCCCACTTCCCAACAAAACAATCGGAGCATGTGCCCAAATTTATTTTTTATTTTGCACACATAGGAAATGGGACCCTATGAAAAGAGAACAAAAAAAGAGGAATGAGCCAAATGTTGCAGAGAAAAAACATGCACAGATCTGCTCCCAGTTTACTCCTAACCACTGACTCTGTAAGACTTCCAACACACCAGGAGCTGGACTCACTCCAGGAGGGGGACACAGGCCACAGTCAGCACAGACGGAATGAGAACGGTCAGGAAATGTCACAAGTGGGATTTCTACATACAGTATCAGCGTTCACTGTAGAAGCATTCTCACCCAGGTTCAAGGGAAACCAAAATTTATCTTCACAAACATGGAATACGAAATTGTTGAGCACTACCTAAATCGTTCAGTCTCTGAGATCATTTGCTATCAAAAAGATAAATAAAATTTAGTCACGGATATCTGGGTGCTTTTTCAACTGCACTCTGATCCAATTCCAGGGGCAGCTCTTACTGTGCTTCGTTATTTAAAAAAAAAAAAAAAAAAAGTGAAGGGAGAAATTTCAGTCAAAAATGCAAACGAATGACCCGGAAGAAGAGGAACCTTCTGGACCCATGTAGTTGTCCTTGGCTGTAAACAGCAAATGTTGTGCTTTGTTGTCTCATTTGGATCAAGGACCAGAGTTAGGGGAGGTACTGCCATCAGGGCAGGAGTTGGGAGGTCACACGAGGGTAGCTGAAGACTCCAGCAGCACCAACTGCGTTTAAAAACTGTGTTTCCGAGGGTTTGTGTTTGGCTCCCAGCATTTCCTGTGGAATTCCCTGGGAGGCTTGCAGATTCTCCATCTTTGCAGGAAGGTAAGTCTGAGCAGTTGCTGCAGTCCTGTCCTGATTTCTCACCCTTACTCTACACAGACGTCCCGGTAGCAAAGGGACACCCAGACTCCTGGTCTTGGGGAATGAAAACTCCAGCAAGATGTTCTGATGCTCAGGTTCAATGAGTAACAATTTCTCAAGAGGCTCCAATTAGTTTTTACAAAAATAAGCCCCCCCTCCCCACCCTATCCCACTACTACACACACAGGGATCTACCCATCTTGGCTACGCTGCTTTGTCTTCCTATACACAACCGGTTAGATCTCAATCTGGGTTTAAATGCACCACCAGCATTATTTGCTGCAGAGGAACAGAACTTCCTTATAACCCAGTGACTACTTGTTAGATCCCAGGGTGACACATGTTTCTTAGCCAGGGTTTGCATTTCTAACCACATCTTCGATTCTAATTTTGATTACGTTGTCAGTGAATCCTATTCAGTACTTTTTGAAGAGATCTTCCTGCAGTCCTGGGATTTTGCATTCCTTTTTTTCAGCAAGCTTTTCCTCTTCAGAGCCCGACACACACACACACACACAAACACACACCTGCTGAGATCAAACCACTGGCCTGGCCTGCTGGCCCTCAAAACCGCTGGCCAGACCCTGCTGGCACACCTCTCCCCAAGGGGCTGATGTGACTTCCCAGCCAGATGTGCCTCTCCGCTTTGAAAGTGTCCATCACCACCACCACCAGGGCTGCCATAGGGATGGGCGTGGAGATCTCTGGTCAGGCACCAAGGCCAGACAGCCGCTGATGTTCAGAGAAGACACTCTGAGTCTGACTTTCAAGGACAGGACTCTACATGAGCTTCCACAAACTCACTAAAAAGTGGGGGAAACATTTTATTTTTGCCAAGTCAGACCAAGAGTTCATAAAATGCAGTGTCCCAGTTTGATGCAGGAAATCAATTTCCCATAAATTTAAGTAACCTTCCTTAGTGATTTTCAGGTAACTGTAGACATCCAACCTGACCTAACCTGGATCCTCATCTCCTCGATGATGTACACAGTCCTCTCCCAGCCCTGGCTTTGCAGAAGGGATGCCGCTCTCATCTCTAGGAAGCGAACGGACATAGAAAGTGCTATGAGGCTTCTCCCACACCAGAGTCTAACAGCTTCTTGAAGAGGAAGACTGACAGGACGAGGGGCTCAAGAGTGGACCCCGTGGGCCCTCATTTCTGTGAGCTGACTGCTGTGTGCTTGGGAGGAAGCTGCCTAGGCCAGATCAACCCCCTCCTTGTGCTCTCCCTGCACACATGGGCCCTGCCGTGGCTCCTTCTCCTTAGTCTCTCTCCCGAGGATCTCAGGTGTCAACCCTTGGGGACTGTCCACACGCTGCCAGAGCTCAGATTACGTCAGAAACAGAAGCAACAGAGGAGACACAGGATAAATTCAAATACTGGTCCTCCACAGAAAACTTGAAAGGGAGCTGTGCTTGCTTTGAAGATATCAAGGAGGAATTTGCCCTTCGTGGCTCAGAAGACAATTCCTGGAAGCGAACATCGATGGGGACAGAGAGGTGGGGTGAAAGCGCCCCTCCCTGTTCCCCTGTGAGGTCGCACAGGCCGTGCCCCCTGCTACTTGGCCTTCACCACCTGTTCATATGGGGGCGGGGGTGTATTGCAGTAAGAGGGGGGCGGAGGGTAGGCTGTGCTTCCCTGGGGTGAGCTGGGTTGGACCTGGAAAGCCATCGCCATGGGATTTCCGGCAGGATTCATCCCCGGTCCTCCAGGGTCGGTGTAATATGGCAGCCCCGGCTGCTGGGCTCCTGAAAAGACAGATGAACAGATGTGAACACAGCGGAAAAAAGGCACTGCCCATCACCCCCGGTCGTCCCCTCGGCTGACATGGACAGAGGGCCAAATGCCCAGACACAGTGGGGCACCCGGGACATGGGAACGAGCCAGAGCCACACGTGAGTCCCCAGCCTCATGCAGCCCGTGCTCTGGGGTGCGGACGGCTGAAAGGGCACCCACAAACACCCCTGGGTGGCTAAGCGACAGGACAGACATTAACAGGATCGGGTACAGTAGGCGGTGGGGCTCCCATGTCGCTAACCCAAAGCCTGAATGATAAACCAAGGAGGCTCTGCAAAGAGCTGGGGAAGTGCGTGCTGAAAAAATTACCAACAGAGAAGGCCGTGTCCACTTTCAAGTGAAGAAAACCAGGGCCACGGTAAGGTAAGCCAATTTGAAGCTCCCTACTGGTTTCCTGACTCTTGCCAGAATTATCACTGGCAGCTCCACAAGCCCTTTGAGAACACAGTTTGCTGAAGTCCATTACTGAAGTCTGGCCTCCATTTCCATCCGCTGGGTTAACATTTTATCAGGGTGGCGGATATCGCTCATCCACGTGAGCCCAAGTTCACAGACAGGGAGACCATGGGAGCAAATGCCAGAGGGTGGGTTGATGCATCTGTGGAATCTCTACTTGTCTTTGGCACTGCTGGAGGAGATGCTTTTCTCCCTGCTTCAGGCCAGCGTGCAGGACATGGGAGGGGGGCACCCAGAAGACAAAGAAGGTGACAAGCTGGCCACTCTGTCCCACATCGAGTCATAACTCTCATTTTAATGGGCAGGAATATTTGAGCTGCTATTTTTGAGTCTATATTTTAGATTTGCTTACTCTGATCACGTTGATAAGGCTACAGAGTACTGAATATATAAATAAAGAATCGAGAAAAACAAAACAAAACAAAACTGTGAGCTTTGGGTGTGTCCCGGGCTAAGTTATTTTTGTTAGTAGACTCAGGTCTATTGGGAGTTAGGCCTCATTTAACCCAGAAAGCTACTCGGAGTGTCAGAGAAATCATCCCTGTATGTATATTGGTTAGGGCTTTTTTTTTTTTTTCCTTTTTTCAAATGTCTCTTGCCACAGTTTAACTGAATAAAGGTCAGTTTACTAAGAAAGATGCCCATCAACCTGCGTAAGATGTCGAAGACCTGGCCTGTGTCAGATCTTGGAAATCTACAAATGTGCAAAAGAAGAGAATGTAAGACAGAAACCGAAGGCCAGAAATGCATTCCAGGGTGTCAGTAGGAGAGCAATCAGTCACAAATGCCACCTTTATCAATCCCTGCCTCATCTCATACCTGTATGGCCCGGCAGGCAGCACCTGCTCCTATCTGTGCATCTTTCCACTGCCTTGGGATGCATTTGCTTACAAGCCCATGACCAGCCACGACCATGAGTTTCCCAAGGGCAGAGATTACAATTTATTTATCTCTGGATCCCTGTATATTTTATATAAACAAAAAGTTACTTAAAGATTAAAAAAAAAACAAACAGGCAATTGTAATAGTTTGGAAAAGACTGACTATGAGAGGAATCCCTGACTATGAGAGAAGGAGAGAATGAGAGGTATTCAGGGGGAATAACCCAAAGGCCTTGGGGACCAATTCAATGTGAAATGCTTGAGGATAGAGAAGAGGTCTGACTTGAAGAGACCCTGGTTTCTGGTCTTGAGAAAAGGGCCCAACAAGAAAGAGAGGGAATATAAGGAAAGAGGGGGTACAGGGGAAAGAGAGAGGGTTGCAGGGGAAGAGAGGGGTGCAAGGGAAAGAGGGGATGCAGGGAAAGAAGCGGTACAGGGGAAAGGGGGTGCAGGGGAAAGGGGTGCAGGGGAAAGAGAGGATACAGGGGAAAGAGGGGGTGCAGGGGAAAGAGGGGGTGCAGGGGAAAGAGAGGGTACAGGGGAAGAGGGATGCAGGGGAAAGAGGGGGTGCAGGGTAAGTGCAGGGCCAATGAAAGCTCCATGCTGGGCCTGCTGGAGCTGAGGCAGCCTCAGGACTCTCCTGTAAAAGTGGGGACAAAAACATGGGTGTGGTTAAAACCAGGCAGGAAGTGTGCAGGGAGTGAGAAAAGTCGGCTGAGGAGAGAACTGTAGGAAAGACCAACATTCAAGACAGGAAAAAAACACCAAGCGTGTAAGGTTGTAGAGAAGAATGCAAAGGAGACTGGAGAGAAATACTGAAACACAGTGAAGTAGGGGTTGTGTTATGGCAGCAAAGGGAAAGGAGAATTTTTAAGGAAGGAGTGATTGGTCCTCTACAATGCCAAATAGAGGACAAGATAAGAAGAGCAGATTTTCAACGGATATGGTTTTTCATATCATCAGTAGTTTCAGTACAGTGGTAAGCACCAACAGCAGTGCCCAAAACTCTAAACAGGGGAAGGAAAGAGAAGACCAGATGAGGGGACAGGTGATAGCTAAAAGGGATGCAGGAAGAAGAAAGATGTGGTTTTAAGGATGGGAAATGCCTGACATTGTGTATAGGGTGTAGGAACACATATTAAGGAAAGAGAAAGGATTTCTAGGGAAGAATATCAGCTCAGTGAGGGCAGGGACCTCATAAGTCTGCTTCAACGTTTGCACCCCGCTGCCTAGCCAAGAGCCTGGTGCACCAGAGGACACCAATTCGTTCTGCTGAATGCACAGAGTCAGCAGCCAGGAGGAGGAGCACAGGGAACCCACAGTTGTGTGGGAAGGAGGACCAGGGCGCTCATAGCAGACAACCTCTATATGGAGTGAACTGCAGGGGAGGTTATGTGAGCAGATTCCAAAATGCTCACAGAAGAGATGGCCATAGATGATAGCAAAACAGTGACAAGGAGTGACAGAGCCCACTGGTATGGGATTCACTATGACAGGGATTTATGAACAACAGTGGAAGCCAGACACCAAAGGGATGACAGCACCATTTCCTACCCCTATGGGGGGTAGAACATGGGAGAAGAGAGCTAGCCCTTCAGGACTGAAGGGTCGTGGCAGATGGTCCAGTTAGAGAAAGAAAACATACAGAGGATTCCGTGAAGAAGCTTCCTATAAAGGAAGACTGCTTCTACACTAGACAAAGAGGAAAGGATCTGGAGAAATGAGTAAAATAATGGCAGCCACACAACTCTCTCTTCTGTCTCCTCAAGTATTAAGTAAGTGTCTATAATGCCAATCTGCAGGACACGGGTATACACACGTATTTTATGGGTATGGTATGGGGACAGTAAGGGGATGGGAATGCGATTAGACAGAATTGTATACCTATCCTTTTTTTTTTTTTAAAGATTTATTTGAGAGAGAGCGAGCATGAGTGGGAGGGGCAGAGGGAGAGAGAGAGAGAGAATCTCAAGCAGACTCTGCACTGAGTGCAGAACCCAACACCGGGCTCGATCGCGTGACCCTGAGATCACGACCTGAGCCGAAACCAAGAGTCGGACACTTAACCGGCTGCACCACCCAGGCGCCCCTCGAATTGTATACATATTCTTGAAGACGCTGAGGCTCAGGAAGATGAAGTAACTTGTCAAGGGCACACAGCTGGTATTTGGAAGCACCAGGATTGGAACACAGGAGTGGAGTGGAGAGCGCAGGCTCTTTCCGCTATGACAGGTGTTTCTCACAATAGGGTGATGAGCTTGGAGAAGAAGTTCAGGCTAGAAAGGGATGGGAAAACCAGAGAAGAGTGGTGACACAATGGGCCTACATTCTGAGCTCCAACCAAAAATGAAGGGCTTGGTTAAGAACTGTCATAACACAGACTTCCCACCTTGGCTGCCTCTTATCCCTAGCACATCATCTTATCTCCAGAGAACTGAAGTCATTTCATTCTTTGATTCTGTCATCTCTTTTCTCATTGAGAGTCTTAGCATGACTTGAGAAGGAACTCTAGATTCGGCAAAGGTGAGTAAGAGTATCTTCAAGATTCTCTATCAGCTGACAACAGCTACTCCTAAGTAGAACTATTCCACCTATGCTGAAGGATGGTCTGGCGGCCAAGCTTTCTTAACAATGACCCTGCCACCACTCAACTACGCTGACTGGCCAGTAACCTATGAATGGGTGAGCTGGGGCCAGTCTTTTCTTGAGATGCAGAAGAATCTGGCTGGTAGCAGAGAATGGAGTGGAAATGCAGGGAGAGGTGGAGACAGCCTGAAGAAGATTGTGTGGCCCAAGAGAGATGGAAAGGTTACCAGCCCCGTGATGTCCCAATTCCCAAGAGCTTCCATGTGTATTTATAATTAGCCCCCACTTGGAGTTAGCTCTAATGAGTTTCGGTGTTCTTTTCACTCTACCGACTGCCTGTGTTCTCAGGTAAAAAAGAACCCCATATCCTGCCTTCGATATCCATCTCCTCTAGCCAGGCTGCTCCTCAAGGTGTAGGCAGGTCTCTTAAATACACTGCAGTAGACACACAGCTCACCCTTTTCCCCCATGACTCAGACTTCCTCTATTTATTCCCACTCTTGGTTGGGGTCACCCATTTCACCAGTTCACTCATGGGACTATAAGCTAAGTTCCCTTATGAGGGATAACACACTGTCCATAATCAGGTTCTTAGCTGCTTCAGTCTTGTTTCTTATTGCCCTGCCTTATTCTTTGCCTCCCAACAAGAACCTAGTTGTTTGTATCCTGCTCACCTCTCCCCTGACCCTCACCAGAGAGCGTTTCCTATGTGTTCCACATGTAGACCACTCCTCCATCTCCCTACACCACCTCCTCCTGGCTCCTTGTCTGGTTAATTCCCATTTATCTTTCAAGTTTCAGATGAGAATCACCAAGTCCAGGAAGCTACATCTCACTGCCTACCACTCCCTTCCTCGCTGGATTAGGTACCCTGTCTTCCTGGCAGCCAGAACAGTATAATTTTCTAAGCTTTCTGCACACGAAGACAGGATCATTCATCTTGGAACCCTCAGAGTCCAGAACAGCACGTGGTATGTGATATTCCATAAATACATGAGATGAATGACTGAAGAGGGATGAGTGGTGAT